TGGCTATATTTTCATACACAGTCACATCTATCCCAATGTACAAAGACCATAGAAGACGCTGTAGAACTGTCCCACAGTGTTTCCTAGGCTGTACTGTTTTTTAATCATCTTATTGGGGGCTTGTAAAACTCTTATCACAATCCATCCATCCATCCATCCATCCATGTGTCAAGATCTTTTGTACATATGTTGCCATCATCATTCTCAAAACATTTTCTTTCTACTTGAATCCTTGACATCAGCTCCTCATTTCCCTCCTCCCTCCATCAAAACCCTTGATAATTTATAAAATTTTTTTTCATGTCTTACACTGTCCAATGTCTCCTTTCACCCACTTTTCTGTTGTCCATCCCCCAAGGGGGTGGGGTTATAATAGGTAGATCATTGTGATCAGTTCTCCCCCACTTTTCCCTTCCCCTCCTGGTGTTGCTACTCTCATTATTGGTCCTGAGGGGTTTATCTGTCCTGGATTCCCTGGGTTTCCAGCTCTGATATATACCAGTGTACATCCTCTGGTCTACCTAGGCTATAATTTTTGTGGGAGCAGAGAGCTAGGTTTTTTCTCTCATGTACCAGTTGGATGGGTTCAAACCTCTGACTTTTTAGTTAGTGGACAAGCACTTTAATCATTGCTCCACCAGGGTTGTGGCCATTGAGTCAATTTTGTCTCATAGCAACCCTGCATAGGGTTTCCAGGACAGGGAAATCTTTTTTTTATCATTTTATTGGGCACTTGTACAACTCTTATCACAATCCATCCATTCATCCATTGTGTCAAGCACATTTTTACATTTGTTGCCATCATCATTCTCAAAACATTTGCTTTCTACTTGAGCCCTTGGCCTCAGCTCCTCCTTTGTTCCCCTCACCTCTCCCACCCTCCCTCCTTCACGGACCCTTGATAATTTATAAACTCTTTTGCATGTCTTAACACCGCAGGACAGTCAATCTTTAAGGGAGCAGGCGGCCTCATTTTGCTCCCAGGGAGCAGTCAGCAGCCCAACAACTAAACCACACCACCACCAGCAATTATTAATAACCAAAGTGAGAGCATTTGCTTACCTGTTCCCACTCCTCCCCAGACTCTCCAACAAACACAGGGATCACATGGAAAATGGCAACTACCCCTCCAGCACCTGGCACAAATGCCTGTTGAACTGGCACTCTGCCCAACAGTAGGTACATTCTCTAGGGTGGGATGAAGAAGCAGGGTCCTTTCTATGAGCACGTAAAGGGGGCTGAACTAACCGGGAACCCAAGGTGTGGCTCCTGGCCGCTGTGGCACCTCTGAGGGCTCATTTGTGTTGATGACATCAGGAAGGCCTGGCTGGTCCCTTGTGCTGGCTGCCAGCTTTGCCTCCACATCCTGTCTGCCTCGCAGGCATTGCTCTTTGCAAGCTGACTTGTACCCCGAGGCAACTTCCTGTGCTCCAGCAAATGGATAATGAGGTTATAGGCTGCTTGAGAAAGCAGAGCTGGAACAGCCACCAGGGGACTTCACATACACACACACACACACACACACACACACACACAGAGCCTTTCTCAGTCTCACCCAGGGTGCCAGCCAGACTGTAGGGCTCCTCGCGCCAGGGTGACAGGATTGCACATGTGCTGGGTACTTAGCAGGGGTGGTGCTCAAAAACAGCCCTGGGTGGAAAACGGAGGAAGGATGAGGCAGATCAGGACCACGGGGAAGCGGCAGGGCAGCAGGATGCGACTTTAACTAGGGTGGTTTAAGGGCAAACCTCACTGAGAAGGCTTCATGGAGGTTAGGAGGTTAAGCTCAGGAATACCGGGCAGAAGGGACCACCTGCACAAGTCCCAAAGCGGCAACATCCTTGCAGATCCATGCTCAGCTGCTGCCGGTCTGACCTATTCAGGGAGTCCACGGGAGAATGACGTGGCCACAAAGAAGAAAGCTAAGGGAACCCTCAGGAGCAGTGGCCCTCGGGCACGTGGGGTCGCACAAGTAACAATCAGCTCTGCGACACCCAACAACAAAAGCCACTGCATTAAGTAAGGCCAGAATGCAGTGCTGGTGAGAGTCCTAGGAGGTCAGAGCAGTGAAGCAAAAGGTCTGGGCAGACCATGTAGGCCACTGAGGATATCGGCGTTGACACTCAATAAAATGAAAGCGTGGAAGGGTTTTGTGTAACGGAGCGACACATCCTGACCCGTATTTCGAAGGAATCACTCCTGCTGCTTTGTTGAAAATACAATGTAACCTCTTACATTATTGAGCGAATTGAGGTTATTGAGCGAATCTAAGAAGGGTGGGCAAGACGACTGTGGCTTGGACTAGAATGATGGTGATGCTGGCAAAGGGGTCTGGGAGTGCCTGTCATGGTGTCAGCCAAGGACAGAGACCAGGTTGATTCAAGACATTCTACGTGTGTTTCTGAAAGCACTGGCAGAATGAAATAGTGGGGTTCGCGATCTCCAAACTGCTTTACAATTCAGTGAAAATCAAACAAGTTAAATACCTTAAACTATGTGGCAGGTTGGGGAGCAAATAATTAACAGATTAATCAGAGGACCTTCAAAAACAGTGTGACAAAGGGGGCAAGGTTCCAAGGAAAACAGTCTCTATTTCCCCCAAGAAATTATTGGACCATAATTGAGATCTTCATTATTTCATGGGCTGCCAGACAGGTACCCCTATGGTTTCAGGCTCCACTGCGTATCTAAAAATCCAGCTTGTCCCCTTCCTGAAGTAGAACATCCTTACTGATTAAATTTGAAAGGGATTTTTACTACAAAGGAGGGAAAATCAAGAGCTCAGTTTTGACTTGTTGGTTTGGAATGCTCACAAAGAGGGGTCTGGGTAGGAAATAGGGATTTGGAATTCATCACCCTGCCAACGGCATTTACTGCCATAAGGATGAATGAGCTCACCTTTGTAGCGAGAGCAGAGGGAGAAAACCAGAGTTGAGCTCAGTATACATTCACCAATATCTTGATACCCAAAATAAATTGGACATAACTTGAAAAATGAAACAGAGTACAGTCTCTCCAGGACCTTGCTCACTCACCCTCCATGCTCAAGCTTCTTAAAATAATCCAATTTTATAACATCTGCTTTCTCCCCAGCCAGTAACCTAGCTTCCACTCCGGTCACGCCCCTGCGGCACATTCCTCCAGAATCTTCAAGGACCCAGGCCGGCTCCTCAATCTCCTCCAGCACAGTTTCATAAGCACTCAGACTTTCAAGAAAGCCTCATCTTCAGAATCTAGAAAATAGCAGTTGCCCACAAGGCTTTGCATCTCTAAGGGTTTGACCCAATGGGAGATTGGAGGGAGGAGAAGATAAGTCTCTCTTTTTGGGGTGCCCTGCAACTGTCCGTCGCTACAATCTCCTCCTTCAGTGTTCCAGACTCACTGAGCTCCTGATTCTAACCTCTGCTTCAGTCTCTGAGGCTGAATCGCCTTTCCTCTGAAACTAGATCCTGGTGCTCACTCTTCACCCATTTCACTTCTCCCTGGACACCACCACCACTTCTTCTTCCCACGGCCATTAAGTTGATGCCGACGTCTACTGACTCTATAGGACAGGACAGGACTGCCCATGTGGATTCCTGAGCCTGTAACTCTCTGTGGGACTAAAAAGCCTCAGCTTTCTCCCTTGGAAAAGCTGGTGGTTTCAAAATCTAATTCCAGTATCCGCAAATCCCTTCCTCTTTCCAGGGCCTATTTTCCTTTGCTCTGTCATCCCTTCTGTCTGGAATCACCTCCTACCTCGCCTCCTCCTTCCCCTTTGCCCTTCTGACCCTCCTCCCCAGAGCCTTCTTCTCTGAGAAGGCTCTGACCTTTTCTGCCACCACTCCAGTGTCTCTGCTGCCTCCAGCCTGGTGTCCTGACACTGGGTGGAGAGTCACTGTTATTTATGCTTCAGGCCTAACTCACTTAATCTGTTCCATAATTTATAAGACAGCTAACCTTAACATGTCTGAGCTATTGAACAAATATTGGAGAGAGTTTAGATTTGGCTCCTGATGAACACAGGAGCAGCAGCTTGTGGTCTGCCCAGGGCCAAAACGGAGAAAGGATCAGAGGCTGCCTGTTTCTCAGACTAGACATGGTCTTCCCCACGGGACCTGAGGTGCATCCTTGATACACTAAGCTCTTGCACCCTGTCGAGCTCGCATCAGTCCTGGAGGAAAAACACAAAGACTTTGAAATCCACTGATCAAGAACTAAATGTCTCATATCAAGCAAGCCACTTCACTACTCCAAATATGTAAAATAAGGCCGAATAATACCTGTTTGTCCTTCTCCATTAAGATAATGCATGGATAACACTGATTGCCATGAGTGTATTTCTTCATTTAATCTTTAATCCCAATTTATCTGCTAGTTAGATTGGGACACACTCACTGGGGTTTGGGCTGGGAATATGAGTAAAGGAAATAAAGGAAGATGAGGGAATAATACAAGGGGTTCAAACTCCTAAGGAACCATTATCCTCTAGGAATCTGTAGAGAGCAGCTAATCACGCCCTGGATGTCCACCTTAAATCCGGCCACCATGTACTTAATCCTTCCAGTCTCTTAGCTCGGTGGTACCATTCACCATCCCTTACTCCCAGATCACGGACACAAAGCTACCCTCTTCCTAACAGTGTCCCTTTGGAAAAAGAACTACATCACAGACAGAAATCACCAAGGCAAGTAGTTAATGCTGATCCCTTTGAGCCAAAGGTCCAGATGCTCTGAAGAAAAATTGGAGACGAGAGAAAAAGAAACCATTTAAAGTTGGTTGGTTTTTCCCCATCTGTTGAATGGACTCAAATGCATAGGTAAGGTGCACTGGAGGCCCAGACACTGGACTTCATGGAGGTCTTTTTTTTTTTTTTAACCAGATGTGTTTTATTGCAGAAATCTGGCCAAGGATCCAATTGGGTGGCCTGGCTCAGGGGCAGCCACGCCTGCTGCCCAGGGCTGGGCAGGTGAGACAAGGAAAGGGTAGTGGGAGTGTGGAATGCTTCTGGGCTCAGGGCCTCAGAGCTGCGAGAGGATATTGGGGGCCAGACTACAGGTGAGGCCTGTGCCATCTGGCTCCACATTCAGGGCCTTTACTATGCCGTCCTCGATCACCATGGAGAACCTCTTGAGCCTTCGGTTCCCAAAGACCGGCACCAAGGAGTCATGTAAGAGCAGATCTGTTTCCTTCCCAAAGGCCCCAGTGGGGTCCGTCAGGAGCTGAACCTTGCCTTCTGCCTGGTGGGCTTTCCCCCATTCGCTGGTCACAAAGACATCGTTGACGCTCAGACAAGCCACCACCTGGGCTCCCTTTGCCTTCAGAGCCCCAGCCTGCTCCACAAACCCCGGAAGGTGAGTCTTGGAACAGCCTGGGGTGAAGGCTGCAGGAACTCCGAAGAGGACACCCTTCTTGCCCTTGTACAGCTCGGCCAGGCTCACCTTGGTCCCAGGCTCCCCTTCGAACACCACCACCGCGGGAAGGGCATCGCCCACCTTGATCGGGGCCATGGCTGCTGCAGCTCTGTGGAATCCGCGGACGCCGTCACACGTCCACCTTTTTCTTCCTCCTTCCCGTCGCCGTCCCGCTCTCACTGCCCTTCATGGAGGTCTTAAGAGTCCGAGAGAACGTGTTGCAGGAAGTGAAGGGACAGAAGAAACCGTTTAGATGGCGGAATTGACAGGATTTGGTGAGTGTTCGGGTATGGGGGGACAGAAGGAGCCATTTAAAGGTTCCTTGCACTCTGACTTAGGTGGCTCTAAGACCACTCCTTGTCGATGCTGTTGTTAGGTGCCGCTAATGTTCGACTCATAGAGAACTTCGGTGCAGCAGAAGCAAACGCGCCCAGTTCTGTGCAAACTTCACAATTGTTGCTACATTTGAGCCCATTGCTGAAGCCATTGTGTCAACCCATCTCAGTGAGGACCTCCCTCTTTATCTCTGCCTCTCCACTTTACCGTGCATGATAGCCCTCTCCAGGGACTGGTCTCTCCTGACATGTCCAAAGTACCACCTGACAACATGGCCAAAGACCGTTCTTGAGATGTAGAATATTTAAAGAGAGAAGTACGGTGTTGCTCATGGCAACATGTCCTGTTTACATGAATGCTGCCTCTACCCCCAGCCACCTAAGTCAGCGTGCAAGGAACCTTTAAATGGCTCCCTCTTTCCCCCCATACCCGAACACTCACCAAATCCTGTCAATTCTGCCATCTAAACTGATTCTTCTGCCCCTTCACTTCCTGCAACAAGTTCTCTCCATGAAGTCCAGTGTCTGGGCCTCCAGTGCGTCTTACGTATAGCCTTTCCGTTTTGAATGTGCGTACGAATCATTTGAAGAGTTTGTGCAAGACAGATTCTTAGCTCCCACTCCAGGGATTCTGCATCTTTGGGTCTTTCGCGAGGCGTTGTTGTTGCTGTCTTTGTTCTGATGCACGTAAGCTTACGTATACCAGCATGTAACCCTGTCCAGGCCTAGATTCCCTTCATCATCTTGGATATGCTTGGGTCCCTGATGAGGCAATCATGTCAATCTATATCTTTGAGTGTTTCCCTTGCTGACTCTATTTTACCAAACATGATGTCTTTCTTTAGCACTTGCTCTTTCCTAGTGGCATATCCTCATAGCAACCCTACAGAAACAGTAGAACTGCCCCTGTGGGTTTCCAAGACTGCAACTCTTTGCAGGAGTAGGAAGCCTCATCTTTCTCCCACACAGCCACTGGTAGCTTCTACTTGCAGACTATGCAGTTAGCAGCCCAACACATACTTATTACACCACAAGAGCTCCCTCTAAGTCACAACTGGCTGGATGGCAATGAGTTTGGGTTTTTCTTGGAATGACATATCCAAACTAAGCAAGCTGAAGTCTTGCCGTCCTCGCTTCTAAGGAGCATTCTGGCTGTGAATCTTCTGACAGTGACTTGTTCTTTAATCAGCCCATCATATTAAAAATTCTTTGACAATACCACAAAGTAGTGAAGTGAAATTTCTTAATAGAGCTCTTCTACCCATATCTTTCTGTGTTAGTCTGGGTAGACTAGAAAAACAAATTCATAGAGACACTCAGATGAGTGTAATAAAGAGCTTTATATACAAGAGCAATTGAATATTTGCTCTTGTGTATAAAGCCCAGTCCAGATCAAGTCCATAAGTCCAAAATTAGCCCATATGCCCAATACCTATCTATAGAGTCCTCTTTGGACTCATGAAACACATGCAATGACACTGAATGCACGGGGATCACAAGCAAGTGGGTGGGAATTAATGTGGATCCAGTGGTGTCGTAAGGATCTCAGCGCTGGCAGGGGTCTCCACATGGCTCCTCCAGCTCAGGGCACTAGGGTAGTTCTATATGTCTTGTGAGCTGCAATGCCTCTCAGGGAGTCAATCTGTGTCCCGCCTCCAACAAGCTATTTATCTCTTTAGCACCTCCAATGAAGTGATCAAGCTGTGACCTGATTGACAGGCTAAACTCCACCCCTTCACTCTTAATCCACTCAAACTGACAACAGATTATATAACTCCCACACTCTCCAACTTCCATCAAATGACCGGGCGTGACAAGAGAAATAGGGCATTTGTAACACTGATAAATGGGACTGGTCAGTCAGTTTTTCTCACCAACCCCTGGCTATCAGGATAAGCCATCTTTGAAGCAGCAGCGAGACAGAAAGTGCAGGACCATCTGAAGAGCAAATTATAGATCTCTGTCTAAGTGGTGGAGCCAAAACCATAAGTACCAGAGACTGGCACAGAAATGACTAGATGGAGCAAGCCGAGCAGTACTGAGATTAGGGGACTGTGAAACAGAGTGACAAGTGAGCTTCCTGGCCCAAGTAGGCAGAGACCAAGGGACTTCATGGCTAAAAGGCTAGGGACTCGAGACAGATTTGGTTGCGGCTGTGGATAGACGACTATCTTCACAGCTTACTGCTACTGACTTTCGGTAACTCTCAGCAGAGCCTAAATTGAAAGACTTCAACCACCGACTGCCACCACCACAATAAAATCCAAGCCTTGAGTTGCCATATGGACAGCTATAATGGGTCAGCTAGGTCAGAAGTTCACATTCACCTTGCAAGGACCTAAGTGGAAGGAACTCTGAAGATAGACTTGTGTTTGAATTTTAGTCCCAACTCCTCAGTAACCAGCATGAGTTTAGAGAATTTACTTATCCTCTCTAAGCACAGATTATCTTATTTGTATAATGGGAGTAACCGTGTATACAGCATGAAATCAATGAGATAATTAAAGGTAAGTATTTAGCAAGCACATAGTAAAAGCAAACATTTATTGAGTTCTCACATTCTTTGTCATCTTGGCCCTTTTTAACCATCACACCCACTTTTTGATATAAGAATGATCGTCACCATCATTTTCTGGATGAAAAAGCTGAAGCAACTTGATTAAAGAGCCAGAGGTAGATCCTGGGCCAAGATTCATATGCAAACGGTTCACTGACAGGTGCAGAGAACACATGGAGAAGGAAGGGAAGAAGCCCTTTGGAAGCCAACTAAGTTAGATTCTTGCTTTCCTCTATCCTAAATTACCACATTGGGTGACTGAAGTCTCAATCCTGCAGAGAAATGCTTGCAAGTGGTTCAAAATAAAGGCCTTGGATCATCCCAGCCAGGATTCAAGGAAACTTCGTCTATTAGTCGAGTCCTGGGGCACTGCTATCCAAAAGTTCAGGTTTCAAAACCACATCAGTTCCATGGGTGAACCATGTGATACAGTCTGCTTTGTTCACATTTATAGCCTTGAAAACCCTCTGGGGCAGTTCCACCTGGTCCGATAGGATCACTGTGAATTAGAGTCTACTTGACGGCAGTGAGTTCATCCGTCAGTCATTGGCTAAAAGTTGTCTTGAAGAGACATAAATTCCCAGGGCCTGGGAGCCTACAATGCACATGGACAAGTGGGTTCTTGCAGACTTGCAACAAAGAGAGAGGTACTGACTGTGGGAAGCTGCCTGGACTGCATGGAGAAGCAAGGAGCTGTGGAACAAGAACGGACAGTCTCTACTGAAGAGCCCAGAGGTCAAGGACCTTGCCCAACATCACGTGGCCATTGCAGGGCAGAAGTGGGACTTGAGCCCAGGCAGCCTGCCTCACCTATAGGCTGGTCACACCAAGGGCAGCTCTCAGTGTTGTGGTTGTCATTGTCATCATGATTTTTATTGTCATTTGGCCCACCTCTAGATTAAGACCCAAAGGCAAGTACTCAAGCCATTCATTGTATCTGATATAACATACCATACACGGTATTAGAGAGTCAGAGAGTTCAAGCTCAAAAAAGCCCTAATGGCAGAGTGGTTGAGGCAATCTACTACTAACTGAAACCTCGGCAATTTGGCATCAGCAGTGGTTCCCCTGCAGTTAAAAAAAACAACCCTGAAGAACCTCTGCTGTAGAGATTTCAGCCTAGAAAACTCTATGCGGCAGTTTTACTCTATCCTGTTTAGTCGCCAAGAGTCAGAATCTACTCAGGCTCTCACTCTGCCCTGCCTAGCTAGTCAGATCAGATCCTGTCTCAGATTTTCTCTTTCGAAAAAAGAAAGGTGTCAGCTTAGATGACTGCTTAGTGAATTTCTCAGTTTGCCGTTCTTGGATGCGTTCACATTATTCTTCCACTACCATCAGGGTGCCCTCCTGGAAGGCCCGGGTCAGTGGGTGTCTCTGTCTTGGCCATCCCCGCCCCTTCAGACAGCAGACTACTGATGAACCAGAACTGATGGTAATTTATGTTTCACAAAATCCTCCTCATTGGGAACAAGAAGAAATTAAATTGCTCACTGGAGTCGGTAACAGATGGTTGGCTCCATCTTCTTTCTGGCTGGGACCCCCCCAGAGAGAGTAATTGAGGGCATCCTGTCACACAAAAGGGACCGAAGGGGCGAGGGAAACTGAAGGAGGGTTGGGAGTCTTCTCTTTGGCACATAAGTCATTCTCATGTCTCCTCATTTCTCAGTGAAGGAGAAAATCAAACAAAACCCGGAAGGAAGTGAAGTGGTTTGTAAATAGGGCGCACTGGGATGCCTCCAGCTTTTTCACTCACTTTATTTATTTTGCTTTGCTGTGTGTGTGTGTGTGTGTGTGTGT